CTCATCATGTGGTTTACTGCATGAATGTCATAAAATCATTTGTGCATTATACAAGAAACCTTTTCATTCTTTAGTCTTTGTTCATGAAATATAATACTACACCAACACTTTTACTGAAAGCACTCTATGGCAAACAACACAATGCAGTGTTCATAATCTTAATGTTATCCCTGAACTAAATAGAGTGGTTTTCATAAATCTTATACACGACTTTCAAAAATGGCGCGATATGTCACGGTCGCCGACCAGTGCACTGGGGACGAAGCACTAAAACGAGGTCTCAAAGGCCAGCCTCCGTATAGTGAGCTTCCATGGTGCCTTGCAAGAGTGTCTTGTTATAAATAACATACCAATACATCTTTCAAACTTTTGGACACTGCCTACATACGATCTTCGTAGTGATTTCTTGATGGAAGGCCTTTCAGGTCTCGTTCACATGATTCGTCACTAGTCCCCAATATAGGCGGACATGAACTGGCGCCATTTTTGAAAGTCATGTATCTTATTCGTATTTTTGAGGGTACTTTCCTGGTTTGTTTTGTTTTTCAAATAATCATTGCTGTACTGTAAGTTGTCATTTTTCTGTGGATCTTTAATTTCATGATTTTTTTTTAGAATTTAATGGTGAAATAAAAGACTGGTGATTTGAAATTTTAAGTACGTTTTAAACTTTGCTTTGCAAATTTATGAAAACCATTCTAGAATATTAAATTCTTTCTAGAAAATTTACACAAACATTTTGTTATTAATTATAATGGTACAGTACTACTGTATGTTTCCAACAAAAAATATATTTAGTTTTCCTAAAGGAAATAGTATAACTGCTAAATGCACCTCTATCATCTCTATCATCAAGTTTCCCAGGCCTGTTAAACAGGTTTTCAGGGAAGCCGTCATAAGGTGAGAAGRCRGTGCATGTTTTCCCTGAAGCTCTTTGACTCTACAGCATACAGTTTCCATATTTGKCTAATTCATCTTGCTTCTATGATACTTGGAGTTTCTCTGTTAAAAATTCTTCTACACTGTCTGTATTCCACTTCTCAATGCTAAAACAATGACAACAGGAATATTAATGCATATACACTAATTACTGCCATATTTGGTAATTTCCAAACGAAATCCATTGGCTGCCGAGCCCACTTCTCACACAAAAACAGCCCACTGTTAGGGGTATTGAATGGTAAAATCAGAGCCTCRTCRAGCCTCTCATTGTAAAATCCAAGCCTGAGCCTTTGGCTGGCATACAAGTCAGATATTTTGTCAATTGTGAGCTTCCAAGCCAAAAGTTAATTCTTTTACATATAAGAGCTTGCAAGCCTTGGGAAATTTTTGGTGAGTCTCACGATTTCTAAGACACCATTCTATAYCCCTACTGTTGATATTCTAGTTGAACGATCACTCACAAATACAGTGAATCCCTTTAACTTTCTTTAATTGCAATTATCAAATTCATTAATAATTTATAAAGTRAACACAATAGAAAATCATTGCCGTGAGCGCATCTTTATATGAGCAAGAGATTTGTCCTGATTTGCATACGACTTTAACTTCGATTTTCTCTTACAAATGATATTTTATCCTGAAGTTTTTTTYGAATTATGCTTCACCTTATGTTGGAATTTGATAAGCAATATAAAATATTCGTGTCTGACCTTTATGGGCTATAAAACTGCTCGCTTGCAGCTCGCAGTTTTAAATGCCCATAAAGGTCTCCCGCTCATATTTTATAATATATTACATTGAAACATATTAGACAACAACAAAGTCATTTGCATAAAACAGTTTTTAAAATTCCCAGGAAGAAACATAAGATATATTGGAAATTAAAGGTTACCAACATTGTACAAGAATTTTTGATAATTTAAGGTCAAATATTCTAGCAAAAAAATAAAAAATATGAATGGATATGACTGTATAAAGAGATAAGTGAATTTGAGAAAAGATGTTTTTCTTCTCAGGGATCATGATACATTTTCATATCAAAATACCAGGATTTTCAAATACTTTTTAAGAACAAAATTGCAATTTTCAAGGACTATCTTCTTTGATGTTTTTGGGTKTAACCCAGTCTGACCTTTCAAACATTTTGCAATATGAACAGTATGACCTGCATACTGTAATACCATTTGCAAACTACTCCTTTCATCTGTTTCTATAAAATTATTACAAAATTATAAATGTATTTTCTAACGGTATGTAATGAATACAAGCGTGTTGTTTGTCACAAGGTGGAATACTCTTGGGAATAGTAGCGTGAAGTATATATATAAGTGAGATCACTTAGTGTGAACCATCGAAGGTACATGTATCTCTAAAACTCTAGTACGTAAAGTTTTAAAGTCGTAATATAATAAGCATCATATCATGTAGTAAACTGTGACATAGCAGCATAACCAATAAAGAGCTGATGCCAATAGTCGAGTTTCGCGATCTCTTTTACGCTGTGTTAGCCTCAATTGTGTGCTAAAATATTCAGAAATGTAGATACATGTAAAACTCGTGAGATTTCAAACTATTTCCATTGTCTTCTATACTCACAGATCTCTTTCATTTGCATGGGTTGTTGTGAATAAAAGAATTTATTACATGGTTTTGAGGCTAACACAGCGTAAAAGAGATCGTAAAAGAGAGTAATTTAGTTTGAAAATAATTTATATTCGGTTGAGAGTAGAATATAAATAATACAAATAGTCTAATATGATCTGGAATGTACCTAAGTTCTTCTTGAACACTACCRTCTTCACTATGAAGCTTTAAAATTGGGTCTGCTCCCCTCACAAACTAAAAAAAAATCAATATCAGTTACACTGAAAGAAGATAGTAACAAGGGAAGTTGTATCAGTTTAGTTCATTAGACAATTTTCAAACTCTGAAATACATTCTCAGGGCTCGAAATAACGGCTGGTCAAAGGACAATATCCTTCCAAATTCTCTAGATGACCAGCCGGGTTTTGAAAGGACAAATTGACCTGCCACATTTTTAAACAAATAAAAAAAAACCAATCAATTCCCAATTCGCTAAATAAATCTTTTACAAGCCATTAAAATGCTTGCCGCTCTTTCTGAATACAAAAAACCTATAAATTAAAAGAAAATAATAGAGTATAAAAAAGTTTTTGTCCTTKCAAAATTTGACATGACCTTCCAAAAATGACTTTGAAAGGACATCTTGTCCTGCATATGTCTGGCCATTATTTTGAGCCTTGCGATCTAGGTGAAATTCTTACCTCTATCCTTAGATTAGGAAATTTGTCAGGCTTTTCACTACGGACAAAAGCTGTTGAAAGAACAAGAAATTGCATTTACTGGTACAGTAGATTCTGTAATCGGTGTACAAAATTAAATTTTTGCTTTGTTTTAAAATCACCCAAATGAAAAGGAATAATTAAAACTTTAATAAWTATTTATAATTTATTAATTTAATAATAAAAAATGATTTCAACAGAATTTACTGAATAAAAACATTGTAAAAAGAATTGTGAAATAATGTGAAATACATACCCTGGATTTGAGGGAAGCGACCCAATTTTCAGTTGCACACTTCCAGAGTTGCAGAAGCAAACCGCTGTCCACAAAGAAACAGAACAATAATTAAAAGTTTGCTTCGCTTTTGTAGTGGATTTCGAACAATCAATAATCTAAAAGTCTAGATAATTATTTGACCTTCATATCTAAAAATTGAGTCTAAACTTACATGTAATGAATCTCAGCCTGAGTAAGTACAGAAGTAAGTAATTAAAGAATTTCAAACCTTAGAAGCAGCCTGACTTTCGCCTTCCTCGTGACAGCAACTCCGACAATTGTCCACAAACTGTTGATCCATTTTGAACTGTACAAGCTCATCACAAGACCCACAGAGCAAGTTCGAAGAAAACCCTAGCTCTCTGCATTTTTCTGGTGTAAGTTTAGAGCTGGAAAGGTGAAATAAAGTGAAGAAAAGAGAAAGAAAAGAGGAGAGACTCACTCGCCAATCCATTTTTCTTGATCACCCTTCTCTGCGATATAGAGGAAGATTGGAAACTAGCTACGTAGCACCACAGGAATCCCATAAAGACTTATGCTACTAAGAAAGTATAAGTAATTTTTATCAATAAAATTTACAATAAATATTACCAAAGAATGAAGTGCTTTTATCATGGTAAGATTTTGAAAGTATTTAGTTATCAAATACAATTTCAGAAATGTATAATTGCTCCAAATGATGCTAGGTCTCTATGTGAAGCTGCAGCTTATTGTGGATTCTTTATTATCATTTAATTTCAACGTTTTCACAATAGCTACAAGCAATTTTCAAGAATTTGTCAATGAATTCTAGATTTTTCAATTCAATTTTCAATTTTCAATGAATTAACACAGGAGACCCAAATTTCGTTGTTTCCATACAAAAATAAGTCCCACAATGCACCGCGGTAAAGTATACAACAAGACGAGGAGTGTTGATATCTTCGTTGTTTTGCCTAAAAATGCGGCAAAATAGCGAGTGGTGAATCTATTGCGATGAACAGAGACTCCCTGAGCCGTTCTTGACGGGCAATACAGCTCAAAGTCTTCAAAATGACCCGAGGTGAAGTTACGACGTTGTTGGATTTGTGTATGGACTCTTCTCTGGTCTTTTTGGACTCAGCATCRTTCAAGGGCCAGCACATATTCCTACCCGAGGATCTTTGTGAAGCGTTTATATCCAAAAGASTCAAGTCAGGAGATTGCAACGACAATTTTCTTGCTTCCTTCTCAGACCCGCAGACGAGTAGAATTGTAAGGCTGAACTTGAGAGGGGCCACAATAACGGATAAAGGACTCCAGCACATCAGCCGACAGCCAATTAAAGAATTGAATATCTCCTGTTGTAAAAAGGTTACCCAGAATGGCCTCAAACATCTAAACCACTGCAAGAACACCCTCATGTGTTTGAATCTAGGACAGTGCGTTCACATATACGAGTTTTCTGAAGTGGCAAATTTTTATAACTTGAAATATTTAGATCTTCGGGAGACGATGGTTACCCAGGAGCAGTTCGAACGCATCGCGCTGGGACTGCAAAATCTACTGTTTTTAAACCTCTCAGAGACCTTTATTACAGACCTCTCGCCTCTTATGTTTWTGGGAAGTCTGACTACATTGGATTTGTCRGAATGCCCTGAAATTCAGAGCATAAAGCCTTTGGAATGTCTAAAAGGGTAAGTAGATCGCGCGACGGAAAATGGCATTTGTGTACATTTTTGTGGCTGTTGTATTATTCACGCAGTACATCTTTTGTGTAATCTGGTTGGACAATGGAAAGGTTAGACCTGCCTTCCAATAATATCTCTCAAATGATTCAAGTATTCAGAATTAAAAGGGAAAGACATTGCAAGAATGTACATGTAAGAGTTTATAGTCATCGTTCCATGCGTACTATAAACTGCGTAAGTTATAAGAAAAAAAGTCATTTTAAAAATCCCATCATTATATATAATCTTAAATATTGTCAGTTGAAGCATAACATATTTTCTTTTTATGTTGCTGGTTTTAGATTTCATTTTCTTGTAAAGTCACAGCACTACTTTTAAAGCGAAATAATACAAAATAAAGTTGTTGACATCTTGAATGATTTATCGTTCTCTAGAATGACTTTTACAGTTGAATGAACCCATTGTGGGGACTTACAAGTGCCAGGAATTTGATAAAAAAGTTAGGGCTCTGATTTAATCACCACATAAAATTCAAATGAAGTAAAAAATRGTTATTATTGTACAGAAATATTCTTAATAATGCCTCATATTTGTCAAAGAACAGTTTTTTGCCAGTTAAAGTCATAAAATAAGAGTTGATAAAACAAAATATGAGTCACCATATAGTAAATTGCTGACAAGTAAATTGCTGATAAGAAAATTGCTGATAAGTAAATTTCAAATTTCCAACGTTCCCACTTCCTTGTTTTCTAATTGAGGACATAAACCATTTTCAAATGGGAATTTAAAAGTGCCTAATTTGACTTAAAAAGACGAAATGGACTTGCAAATAGTATACTTTAGATATTCTGGTGGAATTGATCATTTCAATCATTCCCATGAGATTCAAAAGATAAAAGACCGGCGGCCATGTTGAAGTCCTCCATGATGGCCACTGTGATGTATATTGAAAACAAAGAATAGTCATGCACAAAGGAGAAACAAACCATGAGCATGCAATGGTAGACACCTGTTACTATAGTAACAATTATCAATTGCCATGAACGTTGGTTATTTTCTGTTGTTGCATGCTCAGTGGTTGTCTCGCTTCGATGTAAAGGCATGGTTGCACTTCAASATGGTGGAGTGTGAAGGAGAGAGAGTATTGAAAAATTACCAGTCTAAAATTTGGTTTGACTGATCAATTTTTTTTAAGCTAAAAGATGCTTTGATCTGTCAAGCTTGGAATTTTTGCTTGAAATACGTGTAGTCTCCTCTCACAGCCGCTATGAGGCTTTTGTTCCCAGGTCTCTTCCCCCAGCCTCATAACAGCTGCAAGAGGATAACGCATTTTTTTCCTTGAAAGGACGTTTTTGAAACAAAAGATACTCTGAGCTGTCAAGGTTCATCACACATCCTGTCCAATATCTCATTTAATGTTTTTTTTATTATGATTATTATTTTTGTATTATTATTTTTTTTATTAATTTTTTTTCTTCTCTGAAGCTGTTAGGAATTGTTAACTTAACCAAAATCTCTCTTTTTCTTTTGTAGATCTTTATTAAAACTTGTAATGTATAACTGTACTGGTCTGCAGAACTTTGAAGAACCCYTACAGACAATAGGACAGCTCACACTACTACAGCATTTGGACTTATCCAAAGATAGGAAGGAATACGACATGGATATGGAACAACCATATATTGACGGCAATATGTTGAGGTCTTTATCACTGCTGCCAAATCTTAAAATTTTAGATATATCAGGTACAAAAAAAAAACACAATTATAATCAAACACCATGAGATGCTATCCTGGGATGGATCCAAGATTTTCTTCAGGGAGGGTGCAGTTCAACTGAAAGGAAGATCTAAATTAGGGGAAAATATATGACTGTATTAACAGAAGGTCCCAATAGGGACAAGATCTCCCTGCTACCACAAGCTACTAGCAATACTACTATTATCATCAACATTCCTTCCAACACCATTTTTCTCCACTCTCATTGGTGGACAGTCGACCTTATGTATAGCATAATGGATGAGCTCCGAGGCTGTGCGCTTGGTCATTATTTTCAATAAGCCGAGGAGTGAGGTCATTATCCCATTTAATACACACTCTCATTGGTTTTGAAGGAAAACCACTTACTAGCAATTCCCAAAGGATGTAGGATTTGTAAGGGAAAGGTTGTGGGTTCGAATCTGGTTGATGTCAATTAATTTTTTCTTTACTTCAAAGATTTTCAAAGAAAATTGAACATTTCATATCTACCAACAAATTCAAAGTTAGCATTTGTGTGTTCGTTGGAATTTTTTTTCTGTTTGGTTCAAAAACATAACTTGATTTTTTCCATGAAGAAAATTGTATATCATTCACCATGGAATTGAACTATTGAAGAACACTTTTGAAAATTTGTAGCACAGCAGTGATTAACTATAATTGCTGTTTAGCTAATACACGTGACATCTTATATTCCTAGGTACAGCTTTTTTTGAGAAGGAAGATCTTGTGTGGTTTCGTCCTCCTCATCCAAGGCTACACTTTCTAGGATTATGTATTACTGATGCCTGCTACTATCCAGATTTACCTGCAGATTTGGTAGGTCTTGGATTTCTGTTGATAAATTTATAATATAACTTACAGTAGATCTATATATTTTTAATACAGTGGATGCATCAAAGCAAGATCATTAAGTTTACAGTTTGAAATCAAACAGATACCTTATATTTATACTTAAAACAATACACTGGCTGGTGTGATGCACCATGCTCAGGAGAAAAGCCCCTTGTCTTCACTAACAATTTCAAGAGGAAACAATATGTGCAACACAGCTTTTTGCTCCTGAATTTTGTTCCCTTGTATCTCTTTGGCTAGATATGAGGAAGCAAGTTCTAGAGAAATCTGTTTTTACAAGCAAGCTCCCTCATATGTAACAGTCTTAMTTCAGAGTGTGAAATAAGTTTGTTTGTACTAAGTGTGACACCATAAAAAAGTCAGTGAAATAACTTACTGGTATTTGGATGTTTATTTTTTAACGTCTGAAATGTCAGTAAGTTGTTTCACTGCCTTTTTTATGATGTTAAAATTTATGTTTTTACACATCAACTGTTTCTTTAGAAACACCAACTTAGCTCATACTAGTTTACTGCTAGTTTCCACCATTTTAAGTCCAACACCAGACTTGTTGTCTTACCAAATTAATAACTGTTAATTTACTAATTGATGGGACTTTACTATAGGTAACTGGTGAGGCTGGAGAGAAGCAGATTATAGAATCGCTGAGACATTACATCAACAGACCAAGATTTCTTATCAATGCCATGAGAGAGTTGTTTAATTTGGTCCGAAGCAGCTTGCAGCAGATGGAATCAAGCACTATTTGCRATGTAAGAAAACCACAAATATTGATTCATTGATTATCTATTTTATTAGAAGAATGGRAAATTGTAATAGTGAAATTTTGGGCAAATGACATGGTCAAGCAATCTACTTGTAGAATTAAGGTGCAATTTATAAACTAGTTAAAGTGAAGGAGAAAAACTAGAGAAAACTTTAGAATTTTTCAATTACCAAAGCCTTGGAGCTATTCCAGTATTCAATTAACTGTTATATGCATCAGGAGATTCGGAGAACAATGCGTCCGCCATCTTGAAAAGTGGGACTTGAATCACTAAATTATAACTTCTRAAATAATTAAAAGGTTCTAATTAAACCTAACCTAAATAAATGGAAATATTATGATATTAGTTGACTTAGTTAAAAACTATAAAATCTGTTCTAAGGCACAATATAGTGAATTAGGTCTCGGTTTTCTAGATGGAGGACCATTGTTCTCAAATATAGATGTTGTTTACTGGCTGGGAGGTCCATATTATAGGAAAACACTGCCCGCCGAGGTCTTGAAAGTACACAAGGTCCCTACGTAAAAGACAGAGAGCAGTGTTTTCCTACGGAAAGGCCTATAGCTGGTAAATAAGATTAATTATATTTTTTTAATTTATTAATTTCTGCAACTTTGCTCGCAAGCTAGCTTCAGGATAYCGTGGACTTGGCAGATCATGAAAAACCTGACCACGCACTAGCCAATCACAGCGCGCAAATGACTAGGACCAGAAAAAAATAAGCATTCCATGTATATTTAGAATAAGTGGAAACAACCATGGATTATTTGCATGCTGTATTTTTATTGCAGTTGGTCCTTAATGCAATGAGAAGTAACATGGCAGATCACAAGATACAAATAGCTGGAAGGTACTGTTAATTCTTACAACAGAGTAACACCCCTAAAAAATTTCTGATTCTCTGTGAGCTGATTCTATATAAAATAAATAATTGAATGGTGAAATATTCCTGCATCCCTTGACGTCATTTTCATTAACATATTGCAAGATTAAACCTTCAAAACTCAAAGACGCAACACTAAAATGCAGGACTGGAATATTTCACCATTCAATTATTTTCTTTATATAGAATCAAATCACAGAGAATCAGAAATCCTTTGTCAGGCGTCATAGGCACTTTAAACSTTTAATCATTAACAACTGGCTTCATGGAGCAAACCGCACCACCACCTACCACTACTTCTCCTGGGTATTCTGTCACTGAATGATGACAGACAATTCATGCAAGTGGTTGTTAGAAAACCATATTTAAACAGGACCATGTGTTTATTTTTTAGAAGATGTCTAAACTGTTATAATTGAGCTATATAACTAAGACCCGGTTCATACGTCGAGCCAGCGTCGCGCCGAACCAAATAGTTTGAATTTAGCACATGAACAGCTCGACGTATGAATCAATTGAGTTCGGCGCGACCATAGGCACGGCAGAGTCAGTCGTGCTGCACGGCAAAAGCTCGACGCTGATTCGAGCTATCGTCGTGTCGAACTTAATGCACAAAAATGTCTTTTTTCGAGAATAATGATGGTTGTAAATTGAGTGTTATCGGACTTTTTTTAACCGCATTTGGTTCGACGTATGAATCAACGACGTACCAAATGTATTTGGGTCRACACAAATTGACTATTTGGCTCGGCRCGACGCTGGCCCGACATATGAACCGGGCCTAACATTTGAATTAAGAAAGGAAGAAATGTATAAAATAATATTTCATCTTTGTCTTTTAGTGCCTCTCTATATCATCTGTCAAGAGATGACGTTGAAAACCTGGCTCAAGAAAATGCTGTTACTGAACAACAAAGAAGGTACGAAATGAGTTTATGGCAGAGAAGTATCAAATCCTCATTTGTTTCAAYYAGATTTTGGTTCAGTACCTTAATTATTCTTTATGGAATAAACTCCCTAGCCGCACCACAAAGTGTTCAACTCTTAAGTCCTTCAAAGCACATMTCTGGGAACTCGCAAAAAACAAACTCTTTGCTTCTAAGGAACTTAAGACTCAAAGACTTTTTTAACATTTCTTTTACTTTTATATATTTACTACCCTATGGGCCAGATTGGAAAAAAGCTTCGCTTTATCTGTTTATCACCCAATAAAGTTTATTATTATTATTATTATTATTATCTGTATTGTTTTCTTTTCAAGTTTAATAAAATATAGGTCCGTGTTCATCCCTTGAACATTAGGAGTCCATACATAATTGTGATTGGTATTACTTGATGGATAGTGTCCTCCTTAGTATATGTGCTGTACCAAGGAGCACAATCTTCTGTAGCTCTACTATTTTTATATTTCCAGGAATTTTGTTTATATATTTATCTATCCCTTTTTTAATAAGTCCTAAAGCACCAATTATCACAGGTATTGTACTTGTTTTCAAGCCCCACATTCTTTCGACTTCGATTTCAAGGTCTTTATATTTTGAGAGTTTTTCGGTTGTTTTTATTGAGATGTTTTTGTCTGTGGGAACGGACATGTCTATTAGCAAACATGTTTTATTTTCTTTGTCTTTCACAACAATATCTGGACGGTTGGCTGTTATTTCTCTGTCAGTATGTATCCCCATGTCCCATAGTATTGTAACTTGATCGTTTTCAGTCACAGTTGTTGGTTCGTGTTTATAGTATCGCTCATTAACATTTATATTGAAGTGTTTACATACTTTCCAATGAATATATTTGGCTGCTTTGTTATGTCGATGGATATATTCTGTCTTAGCAAGCTCTGGGCACCCCGATACAATGTGGTCTATCGTTTCAAGTTGTTGATTACAAATTCTACATAGAGGACAAGTACCATCTTTTAGGATTTTGTTTTTATAATAGTTTGTTGCAATGCACTGATCTTGAGCAGCAATTATAAAGCCTTCAGTTTGGGATTTTAATCCAGAGGTTTTGAGCCATTTGTTTGTCTGAAGGTGATCAACATCATTATCATTAAGGCGTTTTGGATACTTTCCATGAAGTGGTTTTTCTTCCCAGGAATTCTTGAGCTGTTCTTCAGAATAATGTTTTGCTTTTATTTTGGTTCTCCGGGCATAGATAGTGGTTGGTTCATTCGCTGTTTTCGGTATCTCTTGTAGATTGAGACCTCTCTT